TCCCTACTCGTTAGCTCCTTCCCAAGACATAAAGTTTGCCCACATGCTCTGAAACTAGAAACTTGTTTCTTCTGCAAAGAAACTACTCCAGGAACCAAAAGAACCTCTGTTGGAACAACCTACTCCTTCACCTGGTTCATTGTCAAAGTTGAAGTTACAGGAGGACCTTCTCTAGAATCTTTAGGGTCATCCAGTTCTACAAGTGCTTTCACATAGGCAAAGACTTAGGCTACCAAACCCAAAGTGACTCCCTCTTAATCCTCTCAGAGCTTGGCTTTACTCTGAGCCATTATCTCAACAGATGATGCAACACAAAAATACCCAGCAACAGCTTCTCACATCTCTAGCAGGGTGTGATGCTCCTTGCAGGAGAAAGGTTGCCACAACTTACATTTGAAGGTGTTTGAAACATGTCATGTAGTACAGTTATGTACTACAGTGCATGGAATGAAAACACTGAGTTTGAACAAGGAATAAAAGCTAATTATCTGAGGTAGATGGTACCACCCTCACAGGTCATCCATACAACTGTTTTGCAACAGGATATTGTTTGCTAAGAAAAAAAACATCCAATGCCCACCTTTGTGGTCCTCCAACACAGCATTAGAGTTTGCATTAGCCTGTTGCTCCTCAGCCAAACTTTTTGAATCACAAGTGGAGAAAGGGGCTTCTCAGAGACAGAACTTACACATGCTACAGAGGCTGGTGTGGCAAGGCTAGTGCCCCTACCTGGAACTCTAACAGGAAAAGAGTCTGGAGACCCTGCTCCTGCTCCTCCTTCCTCATCATCCTCCTCAAACTCCAAGTGTTCCTCTTCTCCAGGTGCTAAAATCTTCCTGTAGAACACAAGAAGAATGAGACCAAAGATCATTCATCATCTGGCTTTCAACTCACACATCAGCATCCAGTATAAAGCAGGGGCAACATGTTTTAATGTCATTTCACACTTCATATTAACTGCTACCTGTACCTATAGACTCTGACAAGAGATTGCAGGAGCTCAGCCCAGTAGAAAGCACAGAGTCTAAAAACAAGAGACAATACTGGCAATTTCAGAGAGATGCAGGGATATACCAAGTCCTGATTTTACCAAAAGCATGGGCTTGATGTTTAATGGTACCTAGACAAACAGAATTCAAAAGTTCTTTTATTGATCAGTTTACCCAAAGCAGTACAGCAAGTAGGTGGCTCTAGAAATTCCAGTTTCAGATGTACACCAGTCCCAGGCCACAGTCCCTTTCAGATATGTGTCTGTGTGTGAAGTGACCCAGTTCTCTCTCACCTGAGTGGGACAGGCTGAACATCAAAGGGGAACTCCTTATTGTAAGTGAGGATATTCTTTAAGACTGCAGAGAGAGGAAAAAAAAAAAATAAGAATCCATACCTATAAATAAGCATTCATTCTACTGTTTTGCACAGCTCTGTCTATTCTCACAGCACCACCACACACACAAATAATAATAACATTTTTAAAATAATCAGATCACACCAAACTCTAGGCTCTTTCTCCAGTATTTTAGCCATCAGTAAGACTTCCAAACGCATGTGAGAAAAATAAACATTTTATGATGTCTAAAGGGCCTAAAACTTTAGAAGAGAAAGCCTGCAGGGGGAGGCACTCTCCTATCAGACACTGAGTATCCCAGACTGGGTCAGGAGAGAGGAGGCGGAACAAATGAGTCCTCTCACTGAGCCTCACTTTGCAATAAGGCCCCTCAGAGCAGGGGAAAGCTCCCCTTAGGGCTACCAAATGAGAACAAACTGTCTTAAAATGACGTTAAGATGACACAAACACCCACAAGTACTCAAACACCAGTTCTGCTTCAGGAACCCCTGCCAGGCCCCCTCTGCCTCTGCACACCTCCATTCAGACAGTGTAGGAGAGCTTCCCTCTCTGCCTGCATACTCACATCACTCAGCGTGGGCTCCATCATCAACTCACCAGACACAATCTGAATGCTACAATGAATAAGGAATCCCTCAGGGAATCTATAAAGAACTCAAAGTCTTTTCAGTCTTTGCTCATTCTGATTTTTTTTCCTGATTCCTGTGCTGCCACCTGAGAAGTTAGGTACTGCCTGATTCCAGCTGGACACCATGCATAAATGCACAGAGTTTGAGTTGCCCTTGGTCAGAGATGTGGCAGACAAAGCTGATGTCAAATCTCTCTGTCTCCAAGGACTTCTGCTCTGAGAGATAAGTAACACCAACCTCAACATGGTGGTGAAGAATGACAGCCACTTCCCAACACAAAAGCAGCTGACCAATAGCAGACAATCACCTTCCAGCACAGCTGACATTCAAGAAAATAAGGGGACTTTTATCACTCTCAGAATTCCCCAGCTCTTGGAGAGCTACATCCTACCAGGGACAGAAAGTGAAACTGCCCCAGGCAGAAAAATCTCAGTAAAGCAAGACCTCTTGCAGATCATAGGCACATTATACAGAAGACATAGAAATTACAGTAGTTCTCCCATCTTCCAAAGGCTAAACTCTAAATTCCTCCCTTTTCCCAGTAACCAGTTTCTCTCACTAGAGGGCATAAAATACTCCACTGATAAGAGCACAGGAAAAAGGCAAACAGTTTTATGGCACTTAAAATCTGGATGCTGGCTGAGGGCAGAGCAGCCACGCTCACTGGCCGTGGTAGGAGCCCTGCCCACAGAAGTGCACTGCTTCCAGACATCCTGGTGGTGCTGGTAACAAAGGTGATGTTCAGTGTTTAGCTCAGAAACACTTCTGGAAACACCATCCAGAATCTCTGGCCTTTTGCCACCGGAAGCTGTGCATGGAATTTTTAAAAGGCTTCAACTCTGTCTCATCAGGAATAGCAAATAATTTTGCAAAGTTGTCATACAGTGATTTACTAAAGTGCTCCTTTAAACATCATCAGGATAAGAAGTGGATCTTAAGCACTCAGCCTGGTGAAATATTTATTCAAAGTCACTAAGAAAAAGCAAAACAATAAACCAGCAATGCAACAATCATCTTTTGAGGAAAATCCTCTTTACATCTATCAAAAGTACAAATTTCAGTTGCTTTAAAGTAAATTAACCAGATCACAGAAAAAAAACCCCAAACGTTAGGTTACAACGAAAAGGAATCTCCCTTGCTATACTGCATAAGGCACCCAACCTTTAAGAGAACTTTTTAGGTTTTGTTTTTAAGAACACCCATTGCCTCTGGGAGAAAGAGCACTTCCCCTCTGACATGCAACTGAGAACATGATTCACAGAACATTCTCCACTTGTGTAACTAATGGGCAGATCCCAGCATCCTGGCCTCCACTTATGTTACTTTAAAACAAACAAACAAACAAACAAACAAAAACCCCCAAACTTTTTAAAGTACTGTTCTGCAGGCTCTCGTGCAGAAGTTGCCTTTTCTTTTGTGATGTTGGACTATATCACATTAATTTGATCAGCAGCTGGCTCTCTCTTGAAAAGTTTCAAAAGAAATTACCAACATGAGCCACAAGACCAGTGCACACTAGGTTGGAGAAGACCACTGTCCATGCAGATTTTCAGTGACAGCCTATGATATGGATTTAATTTTAAAAAAATAAACTACACAAAATAATTCAGATACTAGGCTCCCCAGTACAACCAAGTACCTACTTCTCTTATCATACATATACACTCAGTTTGAAACTAGTTGCTTATCACACACAGGGGCCCACGGGATGTCCCAGCCTATCCATTTGTAATCTGTACTGTCACACTGGGGTGGGGTAAGCTTTCACAAGGAAAGGATTTGTGAAGTCCAGTGTGCTAGCCATGATTTCACACAGTGTAGTCTCAAAACAACTATTTGTATGTATGGACCCTCCTGTAGCATTATTCTAGCACAAAAGATTCAGCGACAAATCCTACAAACAAAGAAAAATAGCCAACTGCTCCACTTTCCAAGCAGCACGAAATGGAGCTTAAGTAGGAAAAGTTAAGAAATTGACAACACAAGATTTAAAAAAAAAAAAGGGGGGGCTAAATGTGAGGGCCCTGGTTCTTATAACAACACCCAAACCAAATTTCTCAGCCATTTTGACAGCTTCAGGCACAAAAGTAATTAAAACAAGCCAAATTGTGTGAATAGCTGGTTTTGTTCCACCCTAACAGAAAGGCTTGAGCTAACAAAGGAATTGCTTATTTGCATTGCCAGCCCAGATTTTTTTTTAGCTTTTTCTGGTGGAACACAAGAGCAAATTGACACACATGGCTTAGAACACTTCACAGTGTATTTTATGAAAAGACTGGTGTTGGCCCGAGTAAGATTTACTCTGTTCAAGATATACTTAAAAACCACAAAACAAAGGCACAATTCAGAGAGGAAGAGGCCAGAACAATCCAAGTCTGACAGCAGCGCTAAGAACATCAATGTTCAATTGTTGTTGTAGAAGCACCCGCTCTCCTCCAAGGAAAATAACTCGGTGTCTTTAAAAACTGATGGCCACACACTCTTCCTCAGTTCTAATACAGCTGCTTGTTGTATGAGGCATGGGCTGAATGCACTTCACACTGTTGAACAGTTTTTTTGACAGCTAAAAATCTGTTCTTTAATGGAGGGCAAGATAAGCAGCAGGACTGTTGCACTTTAAGTGAAATTCTGACTTCTAAGCAAAGGAGGCATTTCAAGGGAAGATTTATGCCTGTTGGCAGAATGTAAATTCTGACTAAACCCTTTAGTAGTCGCTTCTTTCAATTTGTAGAACACTCATCATTTAAAACGTGATTCCTCTCCCTCTTCCATCATTCAGTCACTCACAGGGCATTTGCACAATGGAGTCTAAAATCTAGTCACTAAAGGATGACATTTTAAATACTTTCTAGAAAGAGCAAAGGTAGCTATAGAAAATAATCCCAAATTAGAGGATGCAGAGACCAGTAATATGCAGACTGAGAAAGACCTAATACTTCCAGATTATACACAGTTAAACCCTTTCCCAAGTTAGAGTATTCACAGACCTAGCAGCCTTCTACTGTACCTTCACTTTCCATTTCCAGGGAACAGCTTAAAAGCATTTGGACTCTATATTCTGACAGAGACATTAGGAAGCTCAATTCGATGTCCTGCTTCTTGACAAGCTTCCCTGTGACAGTTACTTAAGAGAAAGGGAGTGCAGAGAAGCTCAGCTTATTCCTGAAGTGGAAACACTCACCTGCCCATCAAAAGTTTAACCCAGCATCCCTCTTAGTGATACAACTGTGACAGAAGCAAATAAAACCAGTTTTTGCCAGCATGAAAGAAGCTCTTCCATGTCTCTGCAGAATGCTAGCATTCATCACAACAGTGCCTAGGTGTAGAAGATGTGATCATAAGGATTGTTTGAGAATAAAGCAGCTGGTGTTATGGGAAGGAAAATGTAGCAGATAAATAGATACTTCCTACATGAAAAAGTTATTTCTGGTTTGACATATGAAGATCTGACCCGGGAGCAGTTGGGAAAAAACAACATTACACAAAACCCTTCAAAGAATGACTCACATCCTCACTTCGACTCTTAACTTTGTTAGTCTGGTAGCACTGCAGTGGCAGACGACAGGTGACTGGCTACCACCTGCACAAGTTAAACATTTTCAGAAGAAAAAAGTACATTTCGTGCTGCAAGGAGGAAGACCAAAATGTACTGAAATTCAGTTCAAATAAGAAATGTGCAGGTAAATTTTCCAGATATATACTATACTACTGATAATTTAAATTACTATTTTGTGCAAAAACTAGCAGCACCCAAAGAATTACTTACTTGAAAATAAGATGAATACATCTGACACATTAGGACTACTATACTTCGAAGTTACCCATGTTACATTCCTTAATACAGACCAAGTTTTGTCTATGTGGTAACAGATATTTGGAAGAACCACCTAAACTCAGCATGACTGTCAAACCACATTGTGGTTCACTCAGTACTCATTCTGCTTGTCATATTTTCCACTGTAATGATAAATGTCACTTCACTTAAAATACAGATACTACTTACTTGGTTCCAACTTCTTCAGATCCTCAAGCTTAAATTCATCCTGTGATTGGGTGGACTAGGACATTACAAAGAAAGAGTTAGACCTCAGTATGCACCTTCCTCTCAGAGCTTGTATCTTAGAATACCATATCTTAGAATAAGCATGCAAGGCGCTTCTTTTCTTCAAGTGTACTAGGTTACTTCAAAGCTACATCCTAAACACCCCGCCAGCAGAGGCTAGGTTCACAGGTGAGGCAAAAAGTACATTATTTATTGAGAACAAACTTATCTCATGTTCCAACTGTAATGCAAGATAAATATTTTTAAAGCAGCTAACTGCTCTTTCATATTTACTGCACACAGGAGCGTTAAGACACAGGGACTTGTTTTAATTCTTCCCCAATTAAATTGTTCTGAAGCAAGATCAGCTGTAAGATTGCACTCCAAAGTGATGCTCCAACAGGAGAATTCACAGTTCAAGACACAAGTCCAGCATTGGCAGACTGACAGAAATTACAGTGTACAGGATGAGCTTGATAAAACACTCAGCTAAGAGCTCATACAGATGGAAGAGGGATTCCCATCTCTCCCTTCTCCAACTCTCACAATAGTTTCCTCATCTGTCTGTAGCACATCTGCTCCTCAGTAAGCCTATTTGACTTAACAGAAAAGTTTTTAATCTTTTGTTCTCAGGTAGTTCAGCAAGTTTGATAAGCTGAACTCACCTATTCCAAGGTGACAAGTGGCAGAGTTGACATCAGAAAAGTGGTATAAATAAATTGATTGACACTGGACATCCTCCTTTAGGCAGATGATCAGGTCTTAGCTATTGACTCATTGCACCCTTGGCATCTCTAACAGTTACTCACTGTTCTCAACATTTCCTTAAGGCCTGATGTTTTGGTTTTTTTTATTTAATTTTGTCCAAGTGTCAACAAGAACTTTCAGCAAGACTAGAGGACAGTAAAGCAACTATACCCATACTGTTAGAAGAATGGGAAAAGATGACCACACTCACTAACTGCTGTAATCTCTGCTAAGAAACCATAACAGAACTGCAGCAAGTAAAATACTCCCCAGAGTGAAGCTGATGGATGAGAAGTTCTAGTACGCTCACACAAGGTTTAAAACGAGCCTTCAAAAGTTACTGCTGAGGAACCAACAGCAAGGAAGGCTGCTCTTGCAAGACATCATCTCTTCAGTTTGGCAGGCTGAATCTTGACATTGCTGAATCTTCTGTGGTTGCTTTGAGACGTGACCTGACCGGTGAAGCTGTCCCACAGTGGAACACGCCTGCCCTCGTCACAAAGTCACAGTGACTCACAACAAATGCAGCCCTGTTTAAACACTCCAGGCTGGATCAAAGTAGAAAGACAGGTAGAGCTAACCAAATAATTCTTCAAAAGCTGCACAGCCTCAAGACTGGTCAGCTCCCACCTCATTAGTCCAGCTCCAGCATGCTGCCTAAATTGTCACTGTGTCCTGGCCTCTCAGACAACTGAAGGCAGCACAGCGGAGCTGCTGCACCTTCTGCAGCAGCATGAACTGCTCGTCAGCGCTGCTGTGATCTACTTCATCCACAATTCACCTGTCACCATTCTGTGTTGGAAAAGGCAATCCACTAACCCAAACTTTGCTTCACTTGAAAGATCCCTCCTCCATCCACACTCTTTTGGATATTTCACTTCCCTTTTGTTTTGGGGATAAGATTGCGCTGAGAGAAAAAGAATTCCTTTCCATGATATCTACTTTCAATCCAGAAAAAAAGCCCAAAGTGTAGCTTCTATGTTGCTGTTTTCACACCTTTGCCCACAGCACTACCAGTTTTCATGACTGCTACAAAAGTAGTTTCTAGTCTACACACACATTCTTCCTCCAGCTTTATTATGACTTGTGAAGCAGCTAAATTAATGCAAGGGTCACTCTGAGGGTCCTTTTACCATTGCATACAGGTCAGGAAGACAAACTAACCAGTTCTGAAGGAGGAAAGTGAAGTAAAGAACCACAGGCAGAAAACCTGTGGCTAAATTGCTGTACAAATCCTAATACATGATCGTATCAGCACTTAAAGGTTTTTAAGGCAGCCACTTAGGGCATCGTGCTGACAACCTGAAAGGTCCAAGAGTTTAAGGGTTCATTCACTGTTCTCAGACGTTTTGGCAATGTATGAAGACACTAAACTAGCTTTAAAACACTCTACAGTTAGCTGTAACTGAAGCATGAAGTCACATAGGAAAAAAGCTGTACCTGTAAAGCTGCACTTCTCAGTTCCAAGCATGTTGCAATTTTAGCTATCGTTTTCTGAAAGAAAAAAAAATAAACCAAAAAATTATTCAGTTTAGTGTGGAAACTGTATTCTCCCATATTCACATTTATTTCAAATATAAATACAAACAATTGCTTTTTCTTGCAAAGATTACAGATCTATTATTCAGTACCAAATCATTCAGCATCAAAGGCTTTTTTTATACATGAGCAAGATTTTCTGAAAGGGCAATAGGTGCAAGAGACAACTGCCACTTAACTGCCCTCCCACAGCTCAACACCAGATACGGGTCATTGGCTCAGCAGAAACTGTAATAATGCCAACCATATCATGAATTGTTTATAAACTCAACGGCTCCAAAGTGAGAGGGAAGAACAAAGGAAAAAAAAATCCAAACCAACTAGTGGATTACCTTCTAAGAATTTGAGTAGTTTGTTCTAATTTACCCTCTGAGGAGTCATACCTACAGTTCCTCAATCAGACTTACAATCTCAGCAGATCAAGTCAGCCTCCCTCAGAAGTTAGTAGCCCAGTATCTCAGCACTGAAAAACCAGTCCACTTTTGTGGGTTCTGGTGGGAGAGGAAGCATAAAGGCAGATTATTTTTCTAACTTTCCAGTTTTGCAATTTGAAGACATAATTTAAACTCTGAGTGAAGCATGAAATATATTCTTTGATTCAAACTTGGCAGCTATCTAAAATATTGCTGAGCAAAAGTGTGAAGTGATTTCTCATTTTCAGTTAAAAATGTCCAAGAGAGGGAAGGGCTTCAAAATAGCCCATTGCTAGCAGTCTTACTGTGAAGACAGTTCTACTTGGGCTTTTAAGTCTCACAAAATAAGAAGCTCCAACAACAGTCACATTTGCTTCTATTACTACCAGCTGGAAGGAGGAGTTAAGACTTCCATAACTGACATCAAGTGGACACAACAGCACGATATTTTACCTTACCTGACCATCACTAGCTCATTCATTAACTAAAAGGTTTTAGTCAAGAAAAACTAAGACTATCTGCAAAGATCAGAGCCAAATATAATTCAAAATGCTCTGTGGAACATTTATAGGTCAAGAAAAAACAGTAACAATGAAGCTACAAAGAAAAGTAGTTTATTTTCAAAGTCAGTTTTCCCCCCAGAAGGAAGATTAAAGCCGAAATATGCACATGTAGCTCATTCTCTTCCTTTAAATCAGGCAGTGTAAAAACAGCTCCCCTCAAGCTGGATGCAAGGGGAGGAAAACACTTCCTAAAGCACAACTCTAGCATCAAAGAAATTCAAGAGTAGGGGCATCTGGCAAGTTATGTAGTGTCAGCCAAAAGCTAAAGCTTCCCTTTAAAGGAGGGTTACATTTTAAGGCTCCAAAAGGTTTGTAGCAGCAGATAAAAACTAGGCATGCTTCCACAGCTACCTCCCCCAGTCCTCTGCCCTGACTCTCCTGCCAAAGGATGTCAGAACTGCTTCTCAGTCAGCTCCTGGGCCACCACCAGTTTCAACAGTCTGGGCACAAAGCTAGAGTGGCTCCAGTTTCAGTTCACCTTACAGCACGCTGAAAGTTGAAAGAGTTCAGGAGCTGAACCATAAGCAGATCAGACATCAGCACCTCAAGGGCAGAGCCAACAGCTGGAGTGCGTAAAAGCCTCAGATACACGATTTTCATCTGCCACCACAGACTCATCAAAGCTTTCAAAGCCATTTCTCCCCAGCTAGTATTTCCTCTCCTTTTAAACACTCTTTTACAACAGGGCATTAGCCCAGACTTTACAGTCTCATAGTTTATATTCCCGTCCATTGTATGGAGATAATATAAAAAGTTAAATTCTTTTCATCACCTTCCAGAAAAGTAGTGAGTGATGCCTACTAACACAGGACACACATTGTTTTCTTCTCAGCCCAGGATGCAGCACGTGCAGCAGTGAGCTGTTTGGGAATTTTAATATAGAGCAATGTGACTATGCTCGTGTGTAAAATGGCAGAGTAAAAACGTTACAGCCCCATTCCTGTGGATGTTCACTTTGCAGTCTAGGTTGTCAACAAACTTCTACCTCTCTGAAAGAAATTCTGCCACATAACAGAGACCCATAGCTGGATCTCCAGCATAGCAAAGCACAGGTTTTTTTTTAAAAAGGAAGGTGTGTACAGTGCTGGATTAATTTTTGCCACTTTCAGACCAACACTCCACACACGGGTGTTGTGGATTTACATGTACCTTCAGGCTGTATGGGAGGACACCAGGTAGTACTACAGAAGCAGATTCTCAGTCCCTAGGGTGAGAATGCACTACACCCACCTAATCAGATGCAGTGCAACAAAAGGAATTCCTTTTTATATTTGAGAACAACTGGAAAGATACAGTCACAAAGGTAGGATCTTAAAGAGGAAGGTGTGAAGTAATGGGTAAAAGAAAGGAATTCAGAGGTTCTCTAGGGAAGGGAGGGGAAACCTCTGAGGTTTGACTACAGCTCTAACGTTTGCAAAAACCCAGCTGTTTTGATGGTTTGGGTGTTGACTGCTGAGTGAAGAGTATGCCCATTCTGTGTGAGACCCAGACTCCTCTGACTGCACCACAGAAAGAGGGCTACAAGCTCACAGGGTGCCAGCACACAGCCCCTGTGCCCCACCACGGAATCAGAGCCTAGGAACAGACTTCCACGTGGCCACTCCCCTCCGGGTTTCACATTCAGAGCATTAAGCCCATGCTGTAAACGAGGTCTCAAAGAGCACTGCTGGACCCCCATCTCCTTTGCCAATCCACTGGTAAGCTCAACAACACCCCTGAATTCTGCAGACTGCTAACTGTGTGTTCTTAAAACTGCCTGAACTAGGTACCTCCTAACAGGGAAAAAAAAAAGCATTAGAATATATGTGTCCTCCGGCTCCTGGGGGCTGAAGGGTAGTAATAGCTCCAGAAACAGATTAATTGAAGAGAGTTTGGGAGTCTTAAAATAGTAAAGAATAGGTTTTATATGGAATCTACTGAAATATGGCAAGGTCCCAGCAGGCATTATTCATAACTATTTTTTTAAGGGACCACACCCAACCGAAAAGTTAAAAACGCAGCTAAACTCTGCTATCATTTTCAGCTGCAACTATCTCATGCAAAGGCTCCTTTTGGCAGCAGGGAAAACATTCTGCGTCTCATTAGAAAGACCGAAGTCATAATTAACTTGGCTAGTTGAAAATAATTAAGATTCAGTTTTATGTAAGCTCGTCATTAGGACGGGAAAAATGTCAGTTGATCTCGTAGTCAGGGTTTCTCCAGCGCAGTTGTGTGAGTAATGACTGTGCTAACTGTAATGCAGTCAAAGATGTTTGCATAAATACAGAGCCAGAGCAGAGCTTGGCTTTAAAGAGAAGTCTAGGCTGTTAGGAGACCAGTAGTTTAATGAATCATGCTCAGACTGTTCAACAGCGTGCTTATTTCAGCAAGTTACTGCTGCATAAAAAAGCTCCATCTTCTAATACTGAAGAAAACTCAGCCTAGAACAAAACCAATTACACGAGAAGCAACAACTGTGGTCACAAAAGGGCTTTAAAGGTCACATTTATTGCACAGAGAACTGGGCAAGAGTAACTATAGCTGGAGGCAAGCTGACAACTGTGGCCAAACCAAACTGGAACAATTCATGTAGCAAAATACAGTGGCAGATCATGAATGAAGATGGGATTTTTTTAACGAATGAAGGCAAAATAAAGAACAGTGGGATGCAGATGTTAAAGCTGAGGGGAATCCACCACTAACCATATCTGTTAATATTCCATAGACGCAGCTTCTAGGTGACGAAATTGTTGCACAGCCTCTTTAAAGCTGTTGCAGGGTAACTAGACTTAAACACAACCATTTCTTGTTTACAGTATTTATCTGCAGAGAAATTCTTAAAGAAAATTCACAATCACTACTGAAGATTCTAGCACCATCAATGATCCAAGTCAAGACAAAGCCTTCCCAAAGGACTAAAACTCCAGAATTATGCCCAGCAGTAGATGCAACTGACTCTTCAGATCAAGAGCAAAACTTAGAATACTGAAAAGCCTCAATTCTTACCATAAACATTTACTATAAGGTAAACGATAAGTGGCTCACCGTATGCCTAGGAGAGAAGCTGGTGGTATCTGCCAAGTGCTGCTGGATTAACAGATTGTATGATTACACTAGCAAGCAACACACCATCAATAATGGTATGGCCATGTCTGCACTGTACCACCACCTGTGATGCCTGAAATAAACCCAAACATGGTAAAAGTTTACACAGAAAGATGGGGTTGAGGATTTTAACCTTGTCCTTTCCCTGCAGCCCTCAGAAAGACAAGGTATTAGGGAAAGATTTCTGGAACCAGAAGGAAATAGTGTGCTGGTGGATGCACTGGCAGGAACTTAGTTGAGCAAAAAGTAGCTGGTTTGGTATGTAGATTTTTGGAAGGGTGGTGAGAGAGAAGATAAACTTCTAACAAACTGTCTGAAAACCCAGAAGCTTGCTTAAACTCTATTCAGACGGGCCAAGGGAGTGATACTAGTGATGACAGTAACTGGTCATCATCCCTAGGCGATACTGGCTGCGCTCCTGCGGGAACAGGAGATCAGAACAGCAAAGGGTTTAACATCACGCTAAAAGATTCTGCTACACAGAGTTTTAAGTGCTTCTCTCAAAACAAGAGCAAGAAGACTCTTATTCTTCTTGTGATTGACATTGCTCCTGGTAGAGGAAGGAAAGAGGACGTTCCCGCAACAAAATGCCAGGGATATTTGGCTGTGTACAGGGCTAATTCCATAGGCACCACCAGGCCCAACGTTTCAGCTTCTGATCTGCAAAACCACACAAGTGGTCATAAATGTCAACCTCTTTTGTAAGTTTTATCAGCTTCAGAAACCAAAATCTGCAAGAATTCAAAACAGCCACTCTGTATTTTTTCTTCTCAGAAGACTACAGCCTTAAGACACGATGGCGGTTGTGCACTTAACATCTGAGGTCAGTTATCTCTGCTTCCTGAGCTCCACAGGCCTCCCCTCACGGCTGACCTCACTCACTTCCACAGTCTGGGCCAAGGTCCTTTCCACAAGATTCAGAGAGCATCTGGAAGCAAAGCCCTGTGTGGTTCTGGTTCCCATCCTCACAGGAGATGATGCCTCCAGAAGTGAGGTTAACAGCTTTGCCTTCATGAGGTAACTGTGTTCTCAAAACCATCCACAGCAGTAAGGACAACTATAGCTGAGAATGGTGGAGAAAGCTACCAGCAAGGGATCCAGAGCAGAAGCAATCAGAGAGTAAACAGCTGTCCAACATTAACAAGGCTCCCAAGCCTTCAGTTCAGGAAAGGTGGGCCAAATCCTTCTCCAAAATTATGATTCAATTTAAGACTATCATGAGCCTTATCTTCTTCTTTGCAGAGGTAAACAGAATGTGGAAGACAAGTTTGTTGCTTTTCTTACTGGTACATACTGAGGAAACAGTTACAAACCTCTGCCAGGCCCTCTAAAAAGGTGTATTTCTTTGTAATGAGGCAATACACACCCCAAGTTCATCTCCAGCTTCTGTAGCAAAGACCTGTGTTCAGGTCCAACATTTCCAAACACAGACCCCACTACTCTAGCCCCCTGTTACCACAGGTGAGATTCTCGGCCAGCAAATGCAAACTTTAAGGCAACACTATTGCTCAAACAAGTGAACTTATGACCTGGAAATCTAGAAATACAGGAGTTCTCTAATTTGGTATTGCTGAGAAAAACACACCTTTACACTAAAGACATGAAAATCTAGCAAGGCCTCCTATCTCAAAAGATTTTATTTTGCTGAAAATGCTTGAGTGTATGAGATGTCAGCTAGCATTTTCCTCTTAAATCTCTGCCACAGAACTGCATGAATACGATGCTGAGACAAGAAACAGCCTTTTCAACTGAGGGGAGGGAGGAAGGAATAAAGTAATTTCAATATTTTGAAACACTATAAACAAATAACATTGTAAGACTACTGGGGAATATTCTGCCAGGACTCTCCCCAGTCAGGTGTTACATGTTAAGCTAACATCCTCCCCACACACCCTTGATGTCTGCAGTTCAAGACATTTTGTCTTCAGACTTCACAACATAAATTGTGCTAATGCTGTATAAGGAAGTTACCAAAAGGTCACCCAGAAAAAGAAACACCCAGGTTGTGAAGGACTCTGGCCAGCATCCATGACATTCGATATTACACAGCAAAGCATCTGTCACTTCTAGTGACAGCCAATGTGTTAGCCATGCCGGGCCCTGTTTCTGTCTGCACACACTGAGCGGGGAAAGGTCTCGTAAGGCTTTGGTCTGCGAGATGAAAAAGCAGCATAACACACACTGGCACCTATGAGTCAAGTTTCTCAACTGAGCAAATGGCAACACTCACCTTCTGATCTTCTGTGAACTCCGAATTGTTGTGCTGAGACTGCGCCTCTTTTTGTAGATGCCTTGCTAATCTGGACAGAGGGGAAAGAAAGCTGTCGAGTGTCAACACAACACAGAAACAACCCCTCCAGTTCTCCCAAAAACCACCAGCCAAAAGGTCCCTGGACTACTGCTCCAAATAGTTTTAATTTTTTAACAAAGATTTCTATAACCATGGTAGGCCATACCTAAAAAAAAACAGAAGATGGACAAAGTCTGCAACTACCTTTGCCAAGAAACACTACATATGTAATGTGCCATAAAAAGAGAATAGGTAAGAAGGTCCTTCTAGACAATGTCCCCTTTTATAAGCACTCAGCTTTCTCCTCTGCCCATCTCCTTACTTTCTAACAACAAACCACCCCCCTGAGAAGACCCACTGTGGTACGAGCCCACCCATGTTTCTTGGGGAGAGTCTGAGCCAAAATGGATAGCCAGCAGGCATGGGAGTGGGTACCCTGGGCAATAGCCTCTCCAGTGGCCACAAGCTGCTGGAACTAGTCACAGGACAGCTCGGCCCAGGCTGTGGGGTGGATCGGCTCACATTTGTGCCTGTCAGCATCCCATGTGGAGCAGAGACCCCACCCCGTGTCACCACGGAGACAGGAGTACCAAGGGGTTTGGAAAGGAATAGCAAACAGCTCCAGAAAGCGAAAGGAAGCTGGAGAGGGAAGCTATGGGAAGAGTTACAGTTTCCGCCCCTGGAGGAAGGAGAATATTAAACAAGCAAAACCTCTGGGCAATTGTTGCCATTCCCTGTAAATAATCTAAAAAAAAAAAAAAATCCAGAAAACAAAAGCGGAGGGGGAGGTGGGACAGGGGGCTGAGGGGAAACCCAGGGACAGCAGCAGTCCTCTGGGCATCACAACACGTTTCCATCTGGAACCTCACGAGTTTGCGTTGTTACAGGGATTCAGCTTCTCACCACAGCTGCAGGGGGGACTAGCCTGCTTTTTGAGGGGGTCTAAAATGCACCAAATACACTAAAAGAGAATACCGTTAAAGCATGTGTCAGAAACAAAAATCAGAACTCAATTACTTCTTTGCTCTTCCTAAAAATAACAGGCAACATCACAGCATTAATATTTCTGCAAGCATCAGTTACACAACCCTCTTTCCATTTGTCACTAATACAAAAAAAACACCCTAATCCAAATAAAAGCATCTGGCATCCCACTGAAAGCTTGTTCAAAGTTGGATGGGGGCAGGTTCCACAGACGGGGACATTCAAGAGGGGAGGCACTGCTGACAGCTCAGAGGGCTCCTCCTGCAGCAGTAACCACCTGAATGAACAAGGGCTGATCTTTGCCGCAAGCTTCCTGCACTTGCAGGAGTAACATAAAGACCTCAGCAGATGTAGGTCCCCCCTGGACACAGGAGGCAAATAATCGTGTTTTACATCAGCAGCCATTAAATCCATGGGCTGAAGTAGCTTAGATTTGGGAAAAATCATTCTCAGTGTCAGCAAGCTCACTGTAACCAGCTCCTCCCCAGCCTGTGTTGCCCGGTATAGATACTGCCAACGCGAGCAGCACTTGGCCAACTCCAGCAACACGCTTGGTCACCCCATCTCAGGTCATCATCTGAGAAGGCAACAGCATAAAACCATGGTGTCATGTCTCTCCAGAGCTTCAGGCAGGTATCTTGCCCTCTGCTTCTCATTTGCAACTTCTACCCTCTCACTGAAATTGTTATTTGTTTACCTGCAACAATTTACAAGAAGTTGATAGACACGCTTGAAAAGGTTCTGCTGCTTCTGCAAAGGATTGTCCCTGCAATCCCTTCTTCCTCTTGGAAGCACAGTGTTCACCTGCTGACAACTGCTCTGTCGAGTAGAAACTCACTGAAAAGGCTTGTAAGAGCAGCTTACAATACCACTACCCAAGAGGAGCTTTCTTACAAAGACATCACACTGCTCCAAAGTCAGAATAAAGCAAGGCCATGGAGATCACCTCAGTTCCTGTCAGACACAAGTGGTACTGGGAGGAAGGGGACAAAAATTGTACTTGGACTCTCAAACTGGACTGTCTGCAAACGTTTGGTTGCCTTAATGAAGTGAGCTCAGAACAAGCAGCCTGAAGGTTTTTCATTCTGAATAAATGTCATTACATGAAATTGATTGCTGAGACTGCCAAGACTGTTTAAAGCGTTAGGATCCTACTGGACTTCTCATAGATGTCCACATAAGGACAGTTGTTAAAAATCCCTTCTTTTACTTTCTGATGATTGTTCTTTCCTTCCGAGATACAGATCTGGAAAAGAACTCCTTTTCATCCCTGTGCCAAGGTTTGTAGTAGCAGCTTGCCCTGCTCTAAAGACCATCAGCAAACTGCAAATAACTGAACTCGCATCATCCTGTCTGCTGAGGGAATGAAATTATGAGATTATAGCATCTCATGACTCTGTGATAAGTGGCCAGGACTCTAGTTACTCTGAATGGCAACTGCACTGGCAGCCAGCGCAGTCACAGCCCACAACTTGAACAGCCCTGAAAAGCACTAGAAAATCTCCTGGAGAGCATCTCTTCAGCTGACTTTCTCTCGAGGAGTAAGTGCAAACTCTCTGGACTTGTTCCAGAAAATTCACCATAAGAAACTTAGCCTGCAATACTCAGATCGCAAGGAAATAACTTTCATCTTCATGGGGAACAGGGTAGTACAGGAGAGCACCTGACTAAAGCTACCAGGTATGTTTCTAAGGATACCATCAACGGCACCCGACAGCGCCAATACTGCTCCGGTACGACGGGGCTCATGGATGCTGCGGTCCCACCCAGTCTCACTGGGGCCGCCTGGTTCCCCGCTCTCCCGCCCGGCTTTCGTCAGGGGTGAAAGGCAGAAGCGTGCGACGGGGCAGTGCTCGCCCCGAGGGGTTGTTCGGGGTTCTCTCGGCTGAGGCTGACGCCCGCACCACGCCTGGGGGCATGC